TTAACGTCTCCATGAGACAATATTGAGAAATAAAATGCCACTAAATTCAGTTTATGAACTAGAGCATTATTGAGTTCTCAATTTTAAAACGAGTTATCTGCCAAAATATTTTTAATTCCACCACCGAAAAATCACAAATTTTCACCCACCAAAAAGAGTGGTAAGAAATTTACGACTTCTAAAATTGTTCCAACCACCATCCAAGGTGGTTAGAAAAATTGCCTCAATTGCCAATCACCTTCAAAAAGTGGTAGAAAATGTTTAGATAAATTTAACTTTTCGACCACTAAAGTGGTCAGAATTTTCAACCATTTAATTGTTGGTGGTCGAAACTTGTTTCCTAATTTCCTTTACTCTTTTTTAAAAATTATTATAATTTTAAAATTTAATTTTTGGTGTTTAATAACACTTTTGATATAATTTCTAAATATATAACTTTTGACAAAAAAAATTCTATATTGTCTTTTACTATTAAAACAAAAGCCTTTTCATAAAATAGAAAATGTCAAGCTATTAAAATACTTTCACTCTCAAAAGAAAATCATTCTATCATATAATTACAACAGTTTAAATTACAATCATTTTCTCTACATCCTTACAGTACAATTTCACTCATTTTCAAAAGTAACCCCAACATTGACTTTAAATATTAAATAAATTTTTTTTTTTGAAAATAAAATATTAAATAAATTAATTGACCTTACCTTGCAAAAGGATGCTATGTAATGACAATTGAGATTCTTGCAAATTTTGCAAGTTTTCAACTGTTAAAAGTTGATTTGGACGATTTTGGTGCGAATCCCAACTAAGTTGGATCGGATTGTTGACTCGATAATCACAAGATTTCAAGTTTGACTCTATCTTAGTGAAAGCGGCCTAAGTTAATTGGTTAGTTATGAGCAACCTAAGTTGATTTTTACCCCGTTATAATCCTTTGTCCGCTAGAATCACAAGACTGAATTTACTCAGTGCACACCTGATCAGATAGTAGCTATTTTCACTGAACATCGTTACAAAAGTTTCCATAAATTATTATATATTAATATTGAATTAAATAATGTTAAAATTGAATAGTAAAAATCTCATATTAAATCTACTATACTAATAAGAGCCCAAGAGAGTTATGCCTATAATGGGTAGAAAAAATGGCGGTCACAGATTTTAATCAAATGAATGGCTCAGATTGATTAAAAGATTGATCAGATTTAAATTTTACACTAAAATTTCCTAAAATACCCACACACCGTTACTAATTCCGTTAAAATTTTAAGAATTGTCGTTAGTTCACCGTTAACTTACTCATTGATTTCAATAAAAAAAAAAAAAAAAAAAGGTCTTAGGTTCGAACCTCATCCAATCAAAGTTGGCATAATTTATACTCTATTTTACTCTTATTAAATTATATAAATAATAATTTAGTAGTTACAACAAAAAATAATACATATGCATTTCTTTAATTTAGAATTATGTGTCCACAATGTCTTTATTCAAAAAAAAAATTATTCATTATCAATAAATTAAATAAGAGAAATAATTTTATTAGTTATATTGTCTTTATTTTTTCTTCAATATAAAAATTCTTTATATTCAAATTTATTAATTGATTATATTCGCTACATTATCCTTACAATGTCTTTATTCAGTGAAAAAAAATTATTAATTATCAATAAATTAATTAAAAGAAATATTTTCATTAGTTATATTGTCTTTATTTTTCTCAAATGTAAAAATTTTTACATTCAAATTCATCAATTGATTATATTCACTACATTATCTATTATCTTTTTTGTGCACTATTTTTCTAATTAAATATCAAAGTTATAATACAAAATAATGCTATATATTTATTTACCAAGTATTTTATTAATACCATGAAAAAATTAAAAAAATATAATTAATAAAGCCAACCATATTAACTACTTGAGAGATTTTGTGACAAAGAGAGTATTCAAATCACATAACAAATTGAAGTGAGAACTACCTCGCAATGTCCTTGTTTGACAATCAGCAGTTAGCGGTTAGCGTTAGCGGATTATACTAGCGGATTTGACCAGTGAATTTATTTAATTATTAACATTGGGTAGAAAAAATGACCACTAGCGGATTTGACCAGTGAATTTATTTAATTATTAACATTGGGTAGAAAAAATGACCGCCAAATTATTAAATCAAATGAATGGTTCATATTGTTCAGTTTTTAATTTTTTCCTTTTAAGATTTTCTAATTTATCCTTAATTATATGATTATCCATTTAACTTTTCCGTTAATTCACCGTTAGTCTAATTCTAATATTAAAGTCTAATATAGAATTATAACTACACCATTAATCTAATTCTAATATTAAAGGTCTTAATAGAACTTAACCACAAATCCTAATGTCGGAATCTCCTCAAACAATATTAGTATATAGTTAATATTTTATGCCCTAATTTTTATTTGTTCTCCCTTATGTCTCGTATTTGGTTTCAACCATACCTATACAATTATTTTATTGACAATTATAATCAATCTTGACTATATTATATTGCATTTGTAAACTTAGAATTACCTATTTAACCCGCACGGGCTTAGCTCAATGGTTTAGTGGGTAGTATTTGGGAAAAGAGACCAAGGTTTGAACCTCGGCTGCGGCAGTGCGGGAATTATGTCCAAAGTGGGCAGATTCCTTGTGCGTATTAGCATTTGGCCCTGTCTGTTGAACCATTGAGTCACCGTGATTTACAACTTCCCACAATGCTTTGTCGGGTCGGAGTGTGGGGGGGTCCCTTGGGGTTGGGAACTCAACCTTTGGGAGAAGAATTACCTATTTAAATACGCAAATTCAACTTTCAATTATCTATGCATGAACAATTTCAATATAATCCTGCCTTAATATACTTTAAAGTACTTATTTTTAAAAAAGCATTGGGCATTATCCCAATCGCGCAATGCGCGTAAACAACTAGTATCTCATATAAAGTGAGAAAGAGGAAGTAAAATTTATATATTTTATAACTATGTTAAAAATTGTATTATACAGAAAAATTAAATTTTAAAAATTTTAAAAATGTAAATTATCATAAAAAATGAAAAACTTATTTGAATATTGAATAGTAAGCGTAATAGCTAGCTGAAATGAGATGAAAAAAAAGAAGGAATAAAGGTTAAATAGGCTACTCAAGTGCACACCAACATGCAATTAGGTCATTCAACTCAAAAAAGAATGCAATTGGATCCCTTAACAACACAAACTTATGCAATTTGACCTAAAACTACTTGTTCACCTAAATAGGAGGTTACTAAATTTAAAAATAATTTTTTTACAATAATTTTAATTAAAATAAATATTTAAAATAAAAATATTAAAAAAAAATAAAATAAAAAACCGCCGGAGACGAAGGGACCTTCGTCCCCAAGCCATGGAGACGAAGGTACCTTCATTGTCGGCTATGGGGTACCTTCGTCTTCGGCCATGGAGACGAAGAGACCTTCGCCTCCATGGCCTGGGGACGAAGGTCCCTTTGTCTCTATGGCCGGAGATGACGAAAGTAACTTCATCTCCGGCCAGGAGACGAAGGGACCCGCCGGAGACGAAGAGGCGGTTTTTTTTTTTAATTTTTTTATTTTAAATATTTATTTTAATTAAAAATTATTGTTAAAAAATTATTTTTAAATTAGTAACCTCCTATTCAGGTCAACAAGTAAATTTTGGGTCAAATTGCATAAGTTTGTGTTGTTCAAGAACCCAATTGCATTCTTTTTTAGTTGGATGACCTAATTGTATGTTGCGGTGTGCAGTTGAGTGCCATATTTGACCCTTATTCCAAAAAAGAATATGCAATTTAAGAATCATATAACTTATATAAGTTTAAATAAAGGGAAAATTGTAAAAAATGTCCCTCTATAATATGTCAATTATCAATGTCACCCCTGAATTATGAGTGGTGTAAATGTTGCCCCTCAATTATCAAAATGGTGCAAATATAGCCCCTCCCGTAACGGACCTGTGCTTCCCCACCGCTGTCCATCGCTGGTACTTTGAATCGAGTGAGGAAAAAAACAACTAAATTACATATTTACTCCGACTTAACGGTGTCGTATACTAACTGGGAACCACATGTCCGTTACGGGAGGGGCTATATGTGCACCGTTTTGATAATTGAGGGGCAACATTTACGTCACTCATAATTCAGGGGTGACATTGATAATTGACATATTATAGAGGGGTATTTTTTACAATTTTTCCTTAAATAAATGTGTTAAAATAAGACTTGATTCTAAGTAGAAATTATGTATCTAAGTTTTGTTTTGTTTTTTCGAAAGTTACCGAATCTATTACATTGTAGTGATCTGTTGAAGAACAAAGAGTCAACATCGCATCCACTGAGGCTCGATCTCATAACCTCCCATATGGGAGAGTCATTACATGTCATCTGAGCACAATGTACTTGGCATGTTTCTGATATTTAATCGAGACATATTTGTTCATTTATTTGAAAATCAGTTTCTTTTTGGGTTGGAGGGGGTACATTAGATGTTTTTATCATATAAAGTATAAAAAAATTCATAAAATGTCTTTAAATTAAAAATTATAATTATACTAAAAATTTAGAAGTAAAACAAATATTTAGAACCTTCAATGTTATTTGAGTTGTAATAAATATCGTTGATATTTATAAATAAATATATAATATTTAATTATACGGGATATAAAACACATTAGTGATATCAAGAGTTCAAAATTTTAGTTATGGACTAGTGTATTAAAAAAGTGGCAAATTATATTATAAACAAGTGACATAAGATACATTTTTAATATATAAAAGATACATTATTTATGTATTGAAGATTTATATATATATATATATATATATATATATATATAAAATTAATGGAATAATAGTTGTAGAAAAGTGAAATTGGAGAAGTATCCGCAAAGAGGGATTGTGAGTACTTTAGAATTGGAATGTGGAGTGGTAGTATGTATGTATGTATATGTGTGTGTGTTTGCGTGGGTGTTGTGGAGATGACATTTATTACGAGAGTCAATTATATATTTTAATATTTATAACTCTCATTAAGATTTTCTTTGCCACCACCCCACCACTCCATACTTCTCTCATCTTCTGCTTTTTTCTCCTTCTCCCACACACCTTTTTGCTCCCCAACTCCTACGTGTTTCCTCTCTCTTCTCTCTCTCTCTCTCTCTCTCTATCTGTATCTCTGCAAACTGACGCCATGACTGAGGATGAGTGGGTGAAGGCGGCGATGCTCGACGATTCCATGGTGGTTGAGCTGCTGTTGGGGCTCAACCACCCCTCCGCCAGGCCCAACCCGGCGGCGGCTTTTCCGCTCGACTGGAGCGTGCGTCAGCGCCGTTCCAAGCCGGTAACCGTCAGGCCGAAGAAGGCGGCCACGAGGGATAGCCCTACCACGCCGCTGTCCTGGAGCGGCGCCACCTCCGTCAGCTGCGGCGGCGCTGTTGACGGTGGTCCTGAGGAGTCCAGCTATCCTAATCCGCCGCCGCCGTCGTCAAAGGCATCTGGCAAGGCGAGATCTAAGGTTCGTATATTCTATTCTCTCTCTCTCTTGCTCGCTGGAATTTAGCTTCTCGACGGCGGTGATTGAATGAGAGCCGGTGAGTGGTGGTTGTGGCGGCGGCTTTTCCGCCGACGAGAGAGGCTTTCCTTTTCTTCGTCATCCAAGTCGCGTGTCACTTTGTTTCCTTGCATGATGACAAAACTACCCCTCCGAATCTCTGATATTTCCAACGTGTCGTCCCTTGCAAGTTACCTAATACCCATCTCCTCCCCACCGTTTTCAGTTAAAAACTTCCCACAAAAGAATCATGTGCATGCCCCTGCCTATTTTCGTCATTTCCCAACAAATCCCCCAACCCGCACCCGCACCCGCTCCGGATTCCACTCTCGTTGACCAAAATGCCCTACCATAGTACCATATATAGATATATTTATTACTCGAATTTTCTTTTCTTCTTTTTTTTTTCTACATATAATCATTTATTTTTTTAAATACTCCTTATTCTTTATAAGGCAATATTTTTTTTATACTTTCTCAAATATCTCCCTCTACAAAATAGTTTTATATTTTCTTAAAGATTTTTAGTTCAAAAAGTCTAAGCCACCACGGAATTCGACTCTATGACTACTCATTTGTAATGATAATCAGGTTGTTTGGCAATAATAAGTATGTATTCCGAAATTGCCCTTATAGGGACAGAATGGTCATTTCATCAGCAAAAAGAAGAAAGTAGTTCCGTGAACTGACCAAGAAACTGTCTGCCCTCCCGTCTTTGTCGGGTTTGAAAGGCATTGGTTTAGGTTTAACGACAAGAAGGGGGTGTGGGTAGTCAACCCTGTAATTGTCCACGTCCGCAAGGGGCATTTTGGGCAAACGCACCAAAACGGTGACGTGTGAACGTGGCAAGTTTTTTGTTCTTCTGCGTTGAAGTTTGGTGTAGTGTGGTTAGTGGTTAAGCGCTTTTTCATAATTGTGGATAAAGTGGGAATTATCAGGTGAGGTGGCACCCTGTGCAGCCGCACAATTCAATCCACCCATGTCTTTATTATACCATAACACACTTTACCTTAATCTTTACGTATATTAATTAACTGTTTCAAAAATACTATGGGTTTATTTAGTTTATAGGTTTACACATAAGTAATTAAAATAAAAAATTATAGTTTTTTGGAAAAGTTTTTTATTGTTTCAAGTGGTTATAGGTTCGAATTCTTGTGAGATTTAGATTCTTTATACTGAAAATAACTATTAGTGGATTCTGTTTCTCCATTTATTTTAGTGAATGTTTGTTTACCATTGCCTTTCTAAAACTGTCTTTGACATTTGTGAAATAGGATTAAGATGTTTGTCCTAACATGCTCTAATGTCTGTCACAAATGAACATATTACCTCATTTTGTATCTATCCAAATATCAAAAAGGCAATATAAGTCCATTTGGAAGTAGAATATTTTTTTATGCTTCATAAAGAGCTATTCTTTGCATCCTTTTCTCCTCTGTTTACTAGACGATAACTTTCGAGGCTGAAGTATTGGCATACTAATCTACAGGTTTTAATTGATGCTATCTTTGTCTTTGTCTTTCAGCTAAATGAGACAAAGGAAAAAAGCACTACCAAGAGGTCAAGAAGGAAAAAGGTAACCCTTCTGTTTTATCTGTCTTACTTACTATTTATTGGTTAAATCAACACGTTCTTCTTTGTTTATTTTCTTTAGTATTCTTTAATTATTTTTAAATTTGATTTTTTTTTTTTTTTGTGTTTAATAGTACTTTTAGTGTAGTTTCTAAATATATAAATTTTATATACTAATACTAAACTTAATATTATTAAAAATTGGATTAAAAATAACTTTAGTCAAGTCTCGTTAACTGAACCAGATACATAAAATGGGACAGAGTGAGTAATTCATATATTTCTTACTTTTGTTTAATACATCATGACCATACACGGTTTTGTTTCTGGTCAGCTGTTCCATTCTTAGAGGTGCGAGTATTAGTCATTGCTTTTTACTATGGAAACCCTGAGTTACACCCAAAAAGAAAACATTGTTTCTTTTTTGGGACAAGCTCCTTTTCTTGATTGTCAGAGACATTATTAAACTATTCTACATTGAAGGACTCATCCTTAATTTCCTCAACTTTAATGTCTATTGCTGATGCCATTAAGCAAAAGTAGTTAACAAACAGCAGCTTAGTATCACTTTTCTTATTCCTTATTATCCTCACTGGTGATAATCAGACATTGGCTGAACTCAAAGAAGATGAGGCTATGCTACTAAGGGAAAGAAGGCTGCTAAAGAAGGTAACCTTCAATTCTTATGTGCGTAATTAATAGCCACGGGAATTTATGAGTTTATGTTCCTGATAGTTGCATCCTCTACACAGGAACTAGCAATGTTACGTGCCAATTTGGATAAACAAAGGGCCACTAACGAAAATCTGAAGAGAATGAAGGTAAAACAAGTTTTAGTTCATTCTTTATTTTTGTTCTTTTTTTTTTTCTTAATTCTAATCCTGAAGTTCTTTTTCCAGCTTGATTTGCAATCTCAGCCGGGAAGCGAAAGAGATCTCGAGATCGGGATTGCCCTTCCGGATCTAAATCTTCCACTCGAGGCGGAAGGGGTGAATGAGGTTGAGTGTGGAACGAGTTAGAATTAAGTCCCAGCAGCATTTATAGCCTAATAAGCTCTAATTTTTGTTGTTGCAACTTGTAATTAAATACCTGTCCTGACCACTTTCCAGTTTCCACTCAAAACAACATGGTTAGTGAAGAAGGTAGTGAGGGTAGAGTTAGGATCATGAAGGAATTATAGTGATGATGATAGGTTAGAGATCCTAGCTGCTTATTAGATGCAGTCACATTCTTTTATCAACAGGTTTCTGCAATGTCCAATTCTTTGGGGCAAACCCTCATTGCTTCTATTACTTTTTTTTTTTTTGACAAAATTTTCACAGATGGGATGTAATGTTTATATAGGAAATGAGATTGGTTTGGACCTTTTGGTATATTTTTGAGAAAATATTTTGATCATCTTCCTTCTTTATAGCTTTCATTTCATGTTTACTTATTATAGCAACTCAAATTTCTTGACATCATATGGCTCTGCTCATATGGTAACAATTATTGGTTTGGCTCTTACATTATTTTGGAGTTATACATTATGTTAAAATTATTATATTTTAGTTTTGTGATTATGAACTTTATAATATGATGATTAATTGGGTATTTTTGGCATGAAAAATTAAAATATAATAATTTAACATGATGTATAACTTCACAATCATAAAAAATACATATATAATTCAATGATATAGCTTGCATGGACTCTTATTTTAATTTGATTATCAATTATTTTAATAAATGCATTGTCAACCAACACTTTGGAAAAAAAAAAGAAGGAAAAATTGCACTTTCATCTAAGTTATATAGAGAAATTGTAGGATTCATCCTTGTTGACCGTTTTCAGTTCTAGTTCCTAAGCTATAATCATGGTTGAAAAAATCACTAAGAGCCCATGTATTTTTTATTTGCTTTTTTTAAGATTTCATATTACAAACTATTTAATACTTTAATAATTAATATTAAAATATCAATTGATGCCTAGACGAGATTTTTGTAACACTGGCTATAATTGACATTTCAAATTTCGTCTTTTTTTCTAATAAAACGTTAGGGACGAATTTTGCAAATCAGTTATAACTTAAGTATGAGAAGTGAGCATAATATATTAAAAAAGGACAATTTATAACATCAGTTATAACTTATTGATGAAAAGTGCTCACGACTAACAAAGACGAAACTTATAATTATCATGTAACTTATAGATAAAAAGTGTAATTTTTTTTTTAAAAAATTAACTAACAAAATATTGCTCTTTGTGCTTCAGTAGGTTGAGAAAGTAGTTATGAACAGATACTACATTCTTCCAAAAGGTTGAACCCTAACCCTAAGGGCCCCCACACCCCGGCCCGATAGAGCATTTAGGAGATACTACATTGTAATAAAGTCAATAGCATTCAAAACAAAATATTGCTCGAGCCACGTGCCCACGTTGACTTAGTCAAGCACCACAAGTTTCAGCCCATCTTGAAAACTAAATGGGACCCATTTGAAATGCAGCCCAACCCAATTCCTCTTGAGCCCATTAAGCCACACATGTATAAGCCCATTAACCTACAAATTCTCGTTGTATCGCGTATCAGTATCCTCCATTGTTTCTATCCACAAAACTCGGCGCAAATAACACTAACGCATGTGGAAGATGAAGATATATTATCAATTTGTCCGAGACAAGATTATTATTGGGTAGTTTCTTGTTGGTATATTTCAAGAATAATAATCCCATGAAAAGATTATTATTATATGAAAAGGCAAATAATTGGGAAGGAAATGGTGGATGATTCGGTTAGAGGTTAGCACGAGTTTGAACGAATTGTTTGTTTCCTTGAAACCTTATTTGTTGACTCCCACAAGTGCTAAGAGTGTTGTAGCCTAGGTTTCCCAGGATAAAATGCTACGGTTCAACGTTTGAGCACCCAAACTTTGAACCCAGCGAACTAGAGCAAAGCTTAGAACACAATAGGCTAAGAGATGAGTAGAAGCAGAAATTTTGGAGCTGGAAAACAATTGTTTTTTTCCTTGTTTCCTTGTAAAATTTCGGCTGCTACTACTACTTCTTATATAGGAGAAGATGGTGTAAATAACATTTACTTAGGCATTCAAACTCATGTTCAAACCTTCAAAACTGACCATTGAATATGAGGATTAATTCTGAAATTAGTTCCGTAATAGATGATCTATTGTATAAATAGTGGGGCAAATCCTCTTCCCAAACCAATGTGGGACAAAAGCTTTACTTTTTCCCTTAATTTTTCCAACTCAAATGGGTCTACTTTGAGAATTAATATTTCATTCAATTGAAACATGTATTCCATCTCAACTAAAAGCCTAAGCTGATAGTTGGATTGCACATTAATGGCTATGTGCTCACACATTCACCCATTATCCGTTTTGAGCGTACAATATATCAATCTTTTCGTCTCACTACGAAGAACCCGAATCCACTTCAACCCGATCCAAATCTGTTGGGTTGGGGCTTCCCTCCTATTGTGGTAAATAGCTCATTTTGGACCAAGCCTGTTCCACTGCAATATTTGTTAGCTTGATGGAAAAGTTTGCTGACAATTATTTGGGTTGGAGAATGGGTTATTGGGTAGAAGTTAAAGAGTGGATGTTGGGATGAAGTTGTTGGGCAGAAGTTTGCTTGGGATGAACTTGGGAAGAGATTTCCTAAGGGAACTTGGGAAGAGGTTTCCTAAGGTTTATGGGAAGAGGTTTCCTAAGGATTATGGGAAGAGGTTTCCTAAGGTTTATGGGAGGAAGTTGAGGAATTAATTAACTTTCTTTATTTCCAAGGTGGCTGCCTGCATCTATAAAAGGAGGGAAAATTCATTGTTTCCCCACCACTACACCAGACACTTCTACATACTACACATATTCCATTTTATATTTTTCGGCAGAAGCAGTAGGCCAAAAAAGAAAGAAAAATTCAGTTTTCTTTCTTTCTCTTTGCACGGCCGTATGCAGCAGTTGAAGGAGCAACATCTATTTCTTCTTCTTTTTGTGCTACTTTGTCGTGGGTTTGCCTAGCTTCTTTGGTGGCACGGCGGTGGCGTGTGTCGGCAGGTTTTGTCGCACGTTTGATGGATTTGTCGTGAGGTTTGCCGAAGATCTTTGGGGTACTTTTCTTCATCAAATATTTGTAGAGGTCAGTGTTTGTTCCAGGCATCATCGTTTTGGGTAAGCTCGTAATATTTGTATTCTATTCACCTTGTTCGTGGTGGTTGAATATTTTGAGTACGAGTTGGTATCCCTTTTTAGGCCTGTGAACGTGATATATTGTATTTGGCCTAGTTGTTGTATTTGATGATTTTTAGGGTGTTTGGCTCAGGTGGTAGCCAGCAACTTTGTACCCAAGATTTTTTATAGTGGAATATTGTGTTGGTGGTGGTCCGTGATTTTTTCCCGTGGTTTTGGGGTTTTCCACGTAAATCTTGTGTCCCTTGTGTCTGTTATTTATTTTGGCTATTTTGCACCATCTCGTATTTGCGCTCTTGTCGGTCTTGTGATTTTATTTGTCACAGGTGGTGGGATTTTTCCCAACAAAATCGAAGGTGGACCCCACTGATATTTGTACCACAAAATAGCTACTTAAAATGTCATTTTATGCTAATTTATGCTATTTTTTCCAACAATCACATCTAATTATCTGTAGGTACATTTTATTTCCACCAAAGATCAATTGCACACATATTTACTAGAACTTTAATGTGGTTTCAACATTCATTCGATCTTATGAGACAAGTTTCAAGTTTTCCTACCTCAACCCAATACATGAGGGGAAATATTAGGACTACCGCAAAGTAGAGTAGAAAATACTTTGCATACATTGTAGCTGGTTTCTGGGTAAAGGACATAATCATTTTATTTTGATAAAAGAAGATTACAATATGATGGCCACAATAGGTGCCAAAGCATCTTACATTGACCTAGAGAAAAAAAATTAAATATTTTCTAACAAAACTATAGTAATCAAAGTCTAAACAAGACTATTGGCTCGAATACAAATTAAAAACAATGTAGTGTAAGCATAGAAAACTAACCTCCAACCAACATGAATGTTAAATTATACAGTGTACCATTGATAAATATTAATTTTTAGGTAATAAATTAAAAATGAATATTCAATATACTAAAAATAAACTTAAAAATGAATATATAGATATTAAAAATGAATATTCAATATACTAAAAGTAAACTTTCAATATACTAAAAATGAACTGATATGTTGACAGAAGATATAGGGATAAGAGAAGCATTGAAGTGGTTGAAGACACCTGGAGTTTATGTAGTATATCATGTTGAATCTGATGCCCTTTTAGTAATTTAGGTCGGGGATAAGGGAAGCATTGAAGTAGTTGAAGATACTTGGAGTTTATGTAATTTATGTTGAATCCGATGCCCTTTTAATAATTCAAGGCCTGAGGAATTTTACTTGTTATTCCTCTTTTGATCTTATTCTCGAAGATATTAAGAAATTAGCTAGTGAATTTTTAAATGTTAGCTTTATATTTGCTAAGCAATCCGCAAACATGACAACTCATGTTGGTTAGAGAAGTTGTGTCCATTGCTGATAGTAGGGAATGGAAGTCCATCCCACCTAGTTTTCTTTTTATGTACTGGCTGCACATTTACATTAATGAAGTTGTTTGTTTTCAAAATATAATGAATATATATGTTAGTGGTTCATTTTGTAATGTAGGCTATATGGTCCACGGTATAATGATTCTACATGACTTGCATCGTTTCTAAAACAATGTAACAACAAGCATTTATGGTAGTCTCACACATAATAAACAAGTCTTGTATAAGACTATCTAAATTTTAATGTAGATATTCTTATTTAGGGGTGTAAACAAATCAAATACTTTAAATTTGATTTGTGATTCGAATTCGTATGTTGCGTTTTGAATTCGAATAAATCGAATACGAATACATATTTCGATTCAAATTTTTTTTTCGAATACGAATCAGAGTATATTCGATTTGACTAGTATTCGAATATATATATATATATATATATATATATATATATATATATAATAAAGTTACGCATTTCGAATTCGAATATTCGAGTCGAATAATGTAGTTATATATATTAAAGAGCATTTTTTTTAAGTACTACTAACTCTGTTACAATATTTGATCTTGAATGAATCACTAATTACTAATTTTAGTTGAATATTGTGATCTTTTATGATTTGTGTCGAAGCTCATGTATTAAATTTAGTCTTTTCAATAATTGTTGCATATTTTAGTACTTTACAGTGTACGTTTTTGCCTTCTAGTGCACATTGTTTCTCCTTCCAGTAAACATTGTTGTGGCTCGCATGTGACGATTTTTTTTTTTTTTAAAAGATGAGTTGATGAATGGCTGAGATGCACCCACATGTTTCAAGGGTCAATAGGTCATTTGCACACAATAATGCAATTAGGCCGTTGAACCTAAAAAAAAAAAAAAAAAAAAAACAAACAATAATTGGGTCCCTAAACTAACAAATTTCATGCAATTAGTCTATTACAAGTTTTGCAGGTTAGTAGGAGGTCATCCCTAATTCATTTTTTTAATTGTTATTTAAAAATAATTATTAAAAAAAAAAAAAAAAAAAAAAGAACCACGTCTCTGCCATTCTTCGTCTCCGGCCATGGAGACAAAGAGACTCTTCGTTTCCGTGGCCGGAGACGAAGAAACCTTCTTCGTCTCTGGCCGAAGACGTGTTTCTTTTTCTTTCTTTTTTTTTTTTTGTTTTTTTTTAAATGTTAAATAATTATTTTTAAATAATAATTCTTTAAAAAATATTTTAAATTTAGGATGACCTGCTAGTCTACTACTAACTTGCAAAACCTGTAAATTGGACTAATTGAATGAAATTAGTTAGTTTAGGGACCCAATTATTGTTTTCAGTGGCCTAAATGTATTATTGTGTGCAGTTTGATAGCCTATTTGACCCTTATTCCCTCTATATGTGTGTGTGTGATATTAAAAACTTTAAAGAATCAAGTTAGGCATTTCGAATTTGAATATTCGAGTAGAATCAAATAAGAATAAAATTTGAAATTCAAATATTTAACGAATAAGAATAGTCCTTAATATAGTCAAATTCAAATCAAATAGTAAGATATTTGACTCGACTCGATTCGTTTAAACTTCTACTCGCATTTTCAACTTTATGGGTCACATTCTTTAACGTTGCAAAAGTTATAAGTAATATGATTTTTTTTTTTTTTTTCAAGAGAAGCTGGTTGGGGGTCATATATCATGGAGTTTGACTTCACAAAACAAAACAAAAATATTTTTAATTTCTCATTTGAAGAGTGTAGTTTGTTTAATTGACATTGACAAGTATAGAAATGCTTTATATAAGTTACTTTGTTATTGTCAAAAAAGTATAAGATTCTATATTGTTATGGGTATATGTTAAATAATAACTTTACAAAATAATATATGAAAGATGAAGTATGATTAGATAGTAAGAAATAAGAATAAAGTATAAAAGTAATGTGGTTAGAAATAAAGATTTGAAATGCCCCAACTCCGTAGGTCCACGATGATGTACATCAAATATACAAAAATTGACAGCACCAACGAACCCAATGTGTACAACATTCTCCCCAACACAAACCAACAACACCAAATGTACAACTCTTTTATCATTAATTATTTTCTTTAGTAAATTTTAATTATTTTTAAATTTGTTTGTTTGTTTTTCTTTTTTTTTCTTTTTGTTTTGTTTTGTATTTAATAGTACTTTTAATGTAGTTTCTAAATATATAAATTTTATATACGGATACAAACTTAATATTATAAAAAATTAAATTAAAAATAAAATCAATCAAACCTTATTAACCGAACCAGACAAACAAAATGAAATAAATGAAGTATTATTTATACCAAGTTTTAAATCAAATTTTATACCATTTGACATAAATCATTCTAATCAATTCACGTTGAAATATATAAATGTGTATATGTAAATATTTATAAATAGTACGGAGTATGCTTGTTTCTTATTAACAAATACATTTTAAAATTATTTTTAAGCTAAACAAACAAAATGTATGGTGTAATTTTGGAATAAAGATCAAATAGGCCCCTTAATTGCACACCAAATTGCAATTAGGCTATCAAACTCAAAAATAATGTAATTGAGTCCCTGAATAATACAAAATCATACAATTAAACCAAAAATGACCTATTTTACAAATAGCGGTTACCGATTTTAAAAATAATTTTAAATATAATTACTAAAAAAAAAAAAAACTAAACTACTGTCTTCACCTCCTTGGCCATGGAGACGATGGTCTCATCGTCTCCATGGCTGGAGATGAAAGAACCTTCGTCTCCGGCCATGGAGACGAAGCCCCCGCTTTAGTTTTTTTTTTTTTTTTTTTTTTAATTTAAATTTATGTAATTATTTTATTTAAAATTATTTAAAAAATCATTTTTGAAATCGGTAACGTCTCTTTCAAGTAAATAAGTCATTTTGGATTTAATTACATGATTTTGTGTTGTTTATGGGTCCAATTGCATTATTTTTAAATTTGATGTCCTAATTGCAATTTGATGTGCAATTGAGTGGCCTATTTGACTCCATTCCTGTAATTTTTATCAAAATTCAAAAAAAGAGTCAAATAAGCTCATAAATTATTTTTAAAAGGTCAATTACACCATTGAACTACATAAATCCATATTAGTCCTAAAATTCTTTTAAAAAAACAATTAAAACATTTTTATTTGTAAATTACCTTCAATTTCATGTTATATTGATGTGACTTCCCTTTGTAATTTTCTTTGTATAAATGATGCCACACTAATATAATGTTTTAAAAAAAAAAAAAACAATTCTACGTAACATTCATGTATACAAAGAAAATTAGCATGTAAAAGTCACTTCAACATGACCTGTAATAACTGAGTAATTTACATATAAAAATATTTTAATTTTACTTTTTAAAAGAGTTCAAAAACTAGAACGAAAGTTTTTTGTAGCACAAAAATACAATAAATTTTTTTTTTCAATAATTCAAGATCTTATTTTATCATTCATTGACGCTTCATAAAAGATGTAGGGCTTATTTGATAAATGACGAATTGGTCAAAATATTGACGAATTCGTTATTTTTGACGTTTTGACCATGTTAAAACGTTAAAATTTTTGTTTGGTAATTGAGCGGTTTGGAGTAACAGTTTACTCCAAACTATGAAATTTCAAACGCTATTATATATAATCCGTGAATTGAACCAATAATTGCTAACTGCTATTTGTCAAATAAGAGCGTAGTATACTAGAGGCAGCCAGCTAGAAATGAAGAAATTTTTCAAAAAAAAAAAAAAAAAAAAAAGAACACTAGAAATGAAGGAAGTGTGGGATACGATACTGTCACAATCTAGTTGAGAAGAGAAGAGGGGGAAGGGAAGGGCATGACTGTAATTCTGGAAAAGCTGGGAGTGTTCATTACCTTTTGATAAGTACCACATGATTACTGTGCCCTTTCCCTTTCTTTTTGCTTTCCCACTAAAGCAAAACCAACTTTTGCTTTTCCACAACCCCCACCCCAACAAAATTACACTATTATTGCTTCTACTAATTTCATATTTATCCCCTAATCAATAATACCAAAAAAAAAAAAAAAACATTTTTCTCATCAACATGTTTGCATGAGCCAAAGTACACCTCACCTTCTAAACTTTGATCTAAAATAATATTCAAATTACTTTGATCTAAAATAATATTCAGATTATATATTTACAAGTAACATATTGGGAATGTTTGGTAAATAGTTTTAGCGGATTAAGTTAGTAGGTTTGAATAGTTGATGATAGAAAAGTGTTTGGTAAATTAGTTGTCAAATGATAGCTGATTACATGCAAAATAACTCTTTCAAAAAATTTATCGAAAAAGCTACTTTGAGCAGCTTTTTGAATTATAACATTTTAGAGCAATAAGCTGTTAGAAAAAGCTAATTAATCAAACACTTAGATTGTCTATTTAACCAAGTCAAACAGTTAATAGTAGTCAAATAAGTCAGAATGAGCTAATAAGCTAACTATGTTGCCAAACATGATCAATATGAGTGTTTGACTAATTAGTTTTTTGTAACAACTTATTGTTCCAAAATACTAAAATTTAGTTTTTTTTTTTTTTTTTGAGAAAGTCATTTTTTATGTAATCAGCTATCAGCTAATAGCTAATTTACCAAACACTTTTCTACAATAAGCTAATACTATAGCTATTTACCAAAAACTCCCATATATATATATATATATATATATATATATATATTTACCAAACTGAGTTTATAACTTATTTGTAATTTTAAATAAACTATAAATTCTAAAATAACATCCACCAAACATGGTCATAATCAAATTGACATTTAATTTATTAAAATTTTTACAATATCGATTATTATTATATTTGAATCAGTACAATTATGTATGTTCACATACAGCCAATACCATAGAAGTTCCCTTTAATTTATTAACTAAGAAAAGAGATTTTAAATTTGAATCTAAATTTCAAATGGTATAAATGTAGGTGAAAAGGTTAAAAAAAATAATAATAATTATACTAAAAATTTTTACTACTTCACCCTACCATTCTTGTCCTTTTCTAAAAATAAAACTTGGAAAAATAATAATAAATGAATGCCTTTCTTAAAACAAAACTGAAAGCTGAGATGCAAAGAGACACTCACTCAGATACACTTATCTACCTGGCCACGCCTACATTTCATCTTTAAAGAATCTTTAAGAACCCCATGAATTAACAATTTTCTCAGATTATTTCAGTTTTTTTTTTCAGAACAATCACTAGTCCCAAATCCGGAACCTCCCAATTTCTCTTCTTTGTCTCTTGTGAGCCTTGAAGATGTTGAAGCTTCTGATCCTGTTTGTTGTAGTAATGGCTGCGGTTTTTAGCTCTCCATTGTCTTCTTCAACTCCTGTAGATGTGAGGCCAGAGCCTCCTGTTTCAGACCCAGTTCTCCCCACTGAGAAAGAACCAATCTTTCAGGCTTCTTCAAGCTCAGGCGCCCACTCCCCAGGTAATTTCACAATGCTTGATGTGTATTGAGTGATGGGTTGTGGAGCTTTTCTTTGTTTCTCATCATTACCATGGATTGTTCATCTAATTTTGTGAGGGAGAAGCTTTTGGCCCTAAAGGAGACTAGGAGAGGCAGTTCCTGGTATACTGAGATTATGTATAATTGTTTTGATGTTTGAATCCTTACTTTATTCAAATTTCTGGGAAAAAAGTACTGTTCTTCAGATGAACATTGCAGGGCCATTATGACTTCTGAGTTGGCTCTTTGCTGCAGATATATTATGATGGTTTCTTTTCTATTACTGTGTTTTCTTTTTGAGCCAAATGGCATACATTTACCTTCCTTGATGGGATCTCTTTTGGGAAGGGATGGGTTGAGTGCTGGAAAAAGGCTGTGTTGATTGGCTTCTTAAGGTCAATTATTGATTTTGTTTTTCCCTGCTAAATTATGGTTTTCCAAAGCTTTTTTTCCTTGATAATAGGGGCTACAGATGTCAGAGCAGTTCAGCATCAAAACTTAAACAAGAAAATTCTCATTGCTCTTATTGTTGCCTCTACCCTTCTTGGTGGAATTCTGCTGTTGTTATCTGGCTTATGGGTTTACAGGTTGAGTAAACTCAAGAAATCCAATGAAAAATGCCAGCAGAATGCAGGTATCTATGTTTATAAAGTTATATTTCAATTCCCCCCAATTATATTTCAACTATGAATAAGAAGTCTAGGGTTTAGTTCTTCCTTTTACTTTTCCCTTTATCATTTCCACACCATTATTGGAGTGTAAAATGTTTGTTTGTAGATGGTGCCAAGGGACTTTCATGTTGTCCAGTTAAGGATAAATCGACACCCTTTAAAGCCTCTGGGCGAAAGGGCTTAGTTGCTGTTCTGGAATATCCATCATTACTAGCTGCTACTAGCAATTTTATGGAGGAAAATGTTTTGGGGGAAGGGAGATTAGGGCGTGTCTATAAAGCAAAATTTGATAATGACTTGGAGGCAGCGGTTAAGAGGCTTTGTGGCGGTAGACAGGAGGTTAATAAAGAATTCGAGGTACCACTGACCTGGGATATAGATAGATATATACGCTAATCTACTATTTCTGAATGTATAGCTAAACCATCGATTTGGAATTGCAGAACGAGGTTGACTTGTTGAGTAAAATTCAGCATCAAAATATAGTTTCCCTCTTAGGGTACTCCATTCATGGTGATATGCGTTTCTTGGTGTACGAAATGATGCAGAACAGTTCTTTGGAATTTCAGTTGCATGGTATGCATTCTTCTTTATATTCAAAACGGGATAGTGTAATGATAAGATATTTCTAACTTCATTTTCGCTAAATTTAGGACCTTCTCGTGGATCAACTTTAAGTTGGCCTCTCCGAATGAAAATTGCTTTGGATATTGCAAGGTAGACTTATAATTATAATTATGTTTTGCACTTTTGCCAGTTAACTTTGTTTGTTTTTGTCTTCGTTTCTACTGAAAATCGACGAGAAGACTAATAAACATTGATGTTGACCAGAGGATTAGAATACCTTCACGAGCGTTGCAACCCCCCTGTGATCCATAGGCATCTCAAATCGTCTAATATTCTTCTTGATTCCAGCTTCAACGCAAAGGTAATTGTGGAGGAAGACAGATAGATATCGTGTACTTTTTCTTTTTCAAAGTAAACTATATAATGTTTCTGTGCAGAATTCTTACTTCATTTAGCTTTTGTGATCTAGATTTCTGATTTTGGCCTTTCTGTAACTGGCGGAAACCTAAGCAAGAACATAACCAAGATTTCGGGATCACTGGGTTATCTTGCTCCAGAGTATCTCTTAGACGGTAAGTAGAGGTTTTATCCTTCTGGGGGTAGAGAGGTGGTGGGGGGGGGGGGGGTGACTTTGTGAAGCTTATCATGTTATCTTTCTCAAAAATGCTGTTATTTGTAAACCACAAGGGAATATATGTTTGGTTTGATGTTTTTCGTTATAAAGAAATGCCAATTTCTTTGTGTTGAATATTTAAAGGAACTGTATGTGGAAAATTTTGTTTATCACAAGTCGTCCAAATACTTGTTTCTTTCCGGAATGCTACGTATGTTAATGAAAAAAAGAATATATTTCCTTTTCTCCTTTTGCTTGCCTTAAAAACTAATGTGAAAGGTATTTCTATCTTGACCGGAGTTCTTTGCTTGCAGGTAAACTAACTGATAAGAGTGATGTGTATGGTTTTGGCATTATTCTTCTAGAGCTTTTGATGGGTAAAAGGCCAGTGGAGAAAGTGGGAGAAACTAAGTGCCAATCAATAGTTACATGGGTAAGGAAAATTAGATAAAATTAAGTGTAATCTATAACGAGTTAGATTAAAAGTCTCGTTCAGTGGTCAATGACCTTGTGGTCTAGTGGCGCCTCGCCTCAGTGGGGGCGATATTGACTCTTTGTGCTTCAGTAGGTTGAGAAAGTAGTTATGAACAAATACTGCATTGTAACAGAGTCAATAGTACTAAAAAAAAAAAGTCCCGTTTAGTGTGAGGTTATTAATGATACCGCCATTGTTCATCAAGCAGGCTATGCCCCAGCTTACGGACCGATCAAAGCTTCCGAATATTGTTGACCCTACGATCAGAAACACAATGGATGTTAAGCATTTATATCAGGTTTGTTTACCTTGAATCTTGAACCAGTCATTGCTTTATAAATTCATTTGTAATTTACATTAAACGGCTCGTTTTTGCATAGGTTGCGGCTGTAGCTGTGTTATGTGTGCAACCGGAGCCAAGCTATAGGCCATTGATAACTGATGTACTACACTCCTTCATTCCACTTGTACCAAATGAACTCGGGGGGTCGCTTAGGGTAGTGGATTCTACTCCCCATTGCTCATAGGAGTCATAGTTGTACCATACTTTGTATTCCCAAAAGGATTGAAAATCAATGGAAGATCTTGTGTTTCCTGTATTCTTGGTTACAGATCTCCCAAATGTGGTTTTTTGCTATGTGTTTAGAGTAGTGACACATGACAATGATATCTGTTGCTTTGTCTGTAAATTGCAAATTTTGAGAAAGAAAGTGTCCACTAATTCATTAGGCTTTTAAACCATCTGTATTTATTGAGAATGGGATTGTACTGGGGATTTTGCTTTATATCACAGCTTCTGGTATTTGTATATACAATTACTTTGAACTCCCCATTTTGAGATCTATCAGATTTGCTCCAACTTTCAGCTGAGTTATTCACTTCTCCAGATTTTGGGCTATTGTGAATTTGTGATCCTCACCCGACCCGTTGATGACTACTATTGGGCTTGTTTGGCAAACAACGGTTAGCAGTAGCGGATTGTATTAGTGATTAACAAATAGCGGATTGTGTTAGCGGGTTTGAGCAGCGGATTTTATCAGCGGTTATATAAAAAGATGTTTGGTAAAATTAGCTGTTTAGATTAGCGGTTAACATATAAAATGACCAAAAGGGTATACATATAATAATAATAATAATAACAATAATAATAATAATAATAATAATAATGGTATACATAATACATAATAATAATATAATAACATCATGTAATAAATTGAATAAATAATAATAATAATAATATAAAAATTGTATAAAAAAAAAGAAAAAGAAAAAAGAAGGCTGCTCCCCTTTTGATATATAAGTAGGGGCGTGTTGGGTCTGTTGTGTATTTTTTGGTGTTTTTTTTTTTTTACATTTCATTGTGGTGTGTTTCCCTTACACTGTTGGTGTATTCTAAAATTCCGCCGCAACTAAGGACATCGCCGCATTTGAACTTTTTCATATATATATATATATATATATATATATATATATATATAATTTTTTAATAATAATAATAATTTTTCGGGGAGGGGTATCTCCGTCCCCGTTCCCCGAAATTTTTTTATATCCACGTCCCCGTAAGGGCGAGGGACGAGGCATATTGTCATCCCTAGATGGTGTGAAACCAATCTTAAGGAAGAATAACATCATTGTCAGTCCGGGTATTTCTTAAGGAAGAATAACATCATTGTCAGTCCGGGTATTTCTTAAGGAAGAATAACATCATTGTCAGTCTGGGTATTTCCAAAGGTTTTCATTTGGAAGAATTAGTATTTATTTATGGTATGTGAAACTCTGCTGAATTGTTTCAGGTTTGGAGAAAAGCCATGGTGGCCTTACAAAGTGGATCTGCAACAAAAGCGCGGTTGTGAAGAATGTTCATCCGGAGGGCATGTTGAGCTGCACGACGCTCATGTTCTTGCAGCTGAGATCATGAACAGGAACCTCAAGTGCTCTGTTGCACGTCCCAATGTTTTCCAACAGCCTTGGGCAGCTATCCTTGCACCCGACACCACCCTCATGCCTGGACACAAGTTCTACGTCGTCCCAAAGGCACCGTCAGAAAACTCCAGTCCTTGGCGCTGAAGCGTTTCCCTTCCATGGCACGAGAAATCCAGAAACCTCAACACGACGAGGAGGAGGAGGAATAGCTCCCCGATAACGATACACAATCCTCGTTAAGTAGAGCATAAATAAAAAGGAATTGTGCTGCGAAAGTAGTATATGTTCATAAACAACTTTCTTAACCTAATGAAACACAAAGAGTTCGCCTCTATTAAGGCTCGAACCCACGACCTCCCATATAGGAATCCAACCATGGTACCATTAAACCACAAGGTCTTGGCATGTTTTTGGTATTTATTAACAAAGAACTTGAAGAACAGTAGAATTGCAGAGGAACAGTGGAAACCATTTTATTAGCAGGAAAGAATAGATGATTGTTTTACAAAATTAAAGGCATGAGATTTTTAATGAATCTAAAACTACCTAAAAAATTCTGCGAATACTAAAATCCCCATTCCCCCAACATTCTCTGTTGTTTGGGATTTTATTATCAACCCCTTTCATCATATATTATCACTGTCAATAAAACACGAAAAAAAGCTGTCTAAAACTAGTGGATCAAAAATGGGCTTCACACTTGTTATTCCTCCTCACACTGTGTAGTGTTGTTGAATTGTTTCTATGTCGAGACCCTTCAACTTCACCACAGATTCTACATGACCCTTTAGGGTATGAAGCTCCCTCAACCTGTTTCACAAAACATCAAGCTTTAGTTTGACTGCATTTTATGTATGTTAGTTGATAAATCGCGCTTAAGGCATTATACTCTCACGTTCTACCTTGCAACTTCAGCTCGACGCTTTGCCTGTTCAGCAATCTCGGACAGTTCTGCATGGCTTTTTTCACCATAAGCAGCTTCCGTTGACTGAAGGCCATGCAATGTGCGCTGAGCCAAGGCCCATTGTGCTTCCCTTTCTCCCCGCCCATAATCCTTCTTGCTCGTGAAAGCCGTCTGCAATTTTTGACAGAAAGTGAGGCCTAATACAAAGGAGGGGCAAGAAAAAAAATCTTGGTGCTTTGGTTCTAGGTTTCGGTTGAATTACCTTTCCATTGAGCATTTTGTCCCAAGCCCGGCCAGTCATCCCATATCTGACGCCGAATTTCAATATGTCTAGTGGGATATAGAAAACAACACTGTAGATCCAGATCACACCAGCCCAGCCCCAGCCAATGCCATGGATTTTAGCAAAATCCCAGTTTGCATATACAGCAATTAAGGTGGCAATCTAGTTTACACAGACATAGAAAAAAGTTTGTTCAGAGTTCCAAAAACAAAAACATACGAAAACAACCTTATCGTGTTGTTTGTGGAAAGCTTACCAGCTGTGCAACCAGAAAAGCAAAGACAAGTAACAGACCGGGGCGTTCTACGAAAGACCAACTTCTGGACCGGGTGACAAAGATGAGTGCCTGGCTCACAATGCTTACTTGAAGATATAGAGCTGAATTAAGCTCAGGGTAATTGTCCCTGATTGATCTTACATGAAATTTCTCCTGCAATGGGTGAGTAACATTTTGGTTTTTTTAGCATATGAAATGGAGGAAATAGGGGAAAACATAAACGAATAATGGGTTTCTTACTGTGAAGAAATCTGACTGGTGAGCAGCCCAGAAGAAGATAACTGTCATTACTGCCAAGTAAGTGCCAAGAACAATGCCAGTGATGAAAATCTCTTTGAGCTTCCATGAGTCAGGCATTGGGGATGGCCTCACTTTATCCTTGGAAATCGTCATGATGGTCCCGTCGTTGAGAATGGCGATGATGAGGACCATGAAGGGTGAGAAGTCGAATTCCCAAATGAGGGCAATGAGCATGAAACCAAGGACAATACGGACCGTGATGGAAACTGCATAAATGGTATAGTTCTTCATCCTCTGAAAAATGGCCCTGCTAGTTAAAACCGCGCTAATGATCACGCTCAGGCCTGGCTCCGTGAGGACTATGTCCGAGGCGCTCCGGGCAGCATCTGTTGCATCTGCCACCGCAATGCCTATGTCTGCTTTCTTCAACGCGGGAGCATCATTCACACCATCCCCAGTCATCCCGCAAATGTGTTTCCTCTCTTGCAGCTTCTTCACAATCTCATATTTGTGCTCTACAAGGTAGGTTAGTTTCACACAACTCATTCCATGAGACCATATAGCCATTGAGAATGAATAATATCTAGACGTTAATTTTACCTGGGAAAACTCCAGCAAAGCCATCAGCCTTCTCGATGAGCTCTTCGATAGGGAGGCTAGCAATGCTTTCATCCTTGTGTTGTCCGAGAAGAGACGAAGAAGGATACATGTTTGTCCCCATCCCGAGTCTTCGACCTGTCTCCTTACCAATAGCGAGCTGATCACCAGTAATCATCTTAACATTCACACCGAGTTCTAGGGCGCGTTGAATTGTTTCTGCACTGTCATGTCTTGGAGGATCAAAGAGTGGCAAGAGACCAACAAAGATCCAGGGCCCTCCCTTTCCCTCCTTTGTCTTTTCTGGTACTGTCTGTTGAGCAACACCAAGAGCGCGAAGGCCACGATCAGCAAACTTGTCAATGGTATCAAGAGCTCTCTTCTTCGCGTCGCCTTTTAGTTCACAAAGCTCAACAATCTGATAGAAAACCACATAACTAAACAAGTAAGCATTGTAATAAATTATATATTTATCATGAGTAGATATAATATTTTACCTGTTCTGGTGCACCTTTACTGACCCTGTGCCAATTCCCATTAGAGTCAATGTAAGTGATTGCTGTGCGCTTTTCGACGGGGTTAAAGGGAAGGAAATGCACTTCCTGGATTCCTGCCCTGGCCTCTTTGGGATCTGCTAGCATTCCCACAATGCAAGCATCAATGGCATCTTGATTCTCCACCCTGGAAGCCTGGGCTGCTTTCAGCATGAGGGTTTCATTGTCCATATCCTTAACGAACACCTCAATTAGAGTCTTATCAACTGTGAGCTTGTTGAGGGTGAGAGTTCCGGTTTTGTCACTGCAAAGAACATCCATTCCCGCCATTTCCTCAATGGCAGTCATCCTCTTGGTGATGGCGCCTTGCTGCGAGAGGCGGTGGGACCCAATTGCCATCGTCACGGATAACACGGTTGGCATGGCGATGGGGATGCCGCCGATGAGAAGGACCAACAGGTTATCAATTCCATCTCTATACTTCCTGTGCTGGATTGGGTACATCACCACAATCTCCACCACTATGCCCACAGCAATTGTGCATATGCAGAAGTTCCCAATAGAGGTCAGGACCTTCTGGAAGTGGCCAACTTGGTTGGTGCTGTCGACCAGATGGGCCGCTTTCCCAAAGAACGTGTGCAGTCCAGTGGCAATAACAACTGCCTCTATCTCGCCTTGCTTGCAGGTGGACCCCGAAAACACCTCATCCCCGGGATTCCTTGTCACAGGCAGGGACTCCCCAGTTAGCGCAGATTGATCAATCTTGAGGGGATCCCCTTCCAGGAGACGAGCATCAGCCGGGATAATGTCTCCCAGCTTGATGCTTACCACATCTCCCGGAACAAGAATCGCAGCGTCCATCTCGGCCCACTTCCCACCCCTCAACACCTTTGTCTTGGGAGCAAGGCCAGCCATGAGCGCTGCAGCAGCATTCCCAGCATTGTTTTCCTCAATAAAACTCACAGTGGAGTTTATGATCAGCAAAACTGTGATCCCAACAAAATCTTGCCAATCTGGTGGCTTCCCCTGCAATGCAAAACACCCACCATATATCAACCATGTTACAACACCACCATATCATTTTTTTGAGACACTGGGTGCTAGACTTGA